TTTGGTATAACAAACATTGTCCACCAATCGAATCAATGAACTTATAACACTTACATAGAAGTAAGCAATTAGACAACAACATATTTCAAATATCTCTGTTAAGATATTACTCACGGTGATCGGTTGGTTGGTTTGCCCTGAAGCTCGACCCTACACATTCCATGAACACAAAAGGGTCACAAACAATTCGATCCGTTCTAAATTCACATTTTCCTCTTTAGGCTTCATTCTTATCTCTTTAACTCAATTACAATGCTCAATGCATGCCTAAGAGTACTTGGAAGTGAAACAGAACAGAAAATGAAACACAGAATGTCTTTTCAAAATTTCAGAAAACAGGGTCCCCACTCGAGCGTGGACTTCCCCGCTCGAGCAGACCCACGAGGCCTGCAAAAGTACTGGATATGTCAAATTTACGCTCGATCGTGAACACTGACGCTCGAGCGGAAGGCCTCTCTACATGGCTTCCCGCTCGAGCGTGAACTTCCCTGCTCGAGCGGACACCATGTCTGCAGAAAATACTGGGAACACGAATTTCATACTCAAGCGGCGGTTTTCCCACTCGAGTGGACACCAAAATTCTAGAAAATCAAGAACAAGTTCTTGAGCATCAATTTGATGTTCAAAGGTTCCAAATGGACAATTTTGTCTCAAACTTCACATATACATATTCTAACATGGTGTAAACACCAAATTACAACACAATGAAGCTCAATTTCACAATTTAATCACATGCATGTCTCAAATTAACTCAAACTCATTACCAACACACTAGATTCAAACATGCAAGGCTCAAACTCCCATGATTTGCACTTGCATGTGAAATATACACAATAACCTCAACTTAATTGGTGAAGAGATAATCAAATACAAGGTCATTAATCAAAACTCAACATGGATTACATACTTTATGCTCAAACATGAAAATTTATGGCAATTTCTTACATGCATGTGTTCTAAGACTTCAAATTCAACAAAACTAACCCCATTTCATCATAATCAATCTAACTCATGTTCTTAACCATTAATCAAACTTGAATTCACAATTTACAACATTAAACTCATGAATTCCCTAACCTAGGAGCTCAATCTTCCCAACTATAGCAAATCCTTGAGTTTAATCCTCAAATTCCCCTAACCTTGAGCCAAGATTACACAATTCTCTCCCTCTCTCTCTCTCTCTATAGCCGGCCCTCTCTCTTCTTTGAGTTCAAATCAGCCAAATGAAGCTATAAAGAGAGAATTGAGGGTATAGTGCCTTATTACAACAAATCCCACTAATTCCAATTTAATAACAATAAAATAATTAGGCACCAATTCATCAATTTAATCAATTTAATCTGATCCGAATCAATTTCCAACCAAATTTCATCGTAGGCTCTAAAAATTACGCTAATCACAATGGCGCAATCAATTTTGGTTTCGGTGGCCGATAGGGCCCTCAATTTAATTCCCAAAGCAGATAATCAAACAAATATTCCTACGGTGAACAGATAGAAATTCAAAACCACATATTTTCACATAATGGCACACAAAATCATATCAAACACATAATCATACTCATATTAAGGACCAATTAACATATTACGGAACAGGGATATCACACTAGTTGTGGCTAGTTATGTGCATCGTTATTAAGTTTATTTTTTATTAAGTCAAGTGACAAATATGTAGCCACGATTAGCATATAGAGAGAGATTGACATGTGTGATGGCAAACTAGCACCACAACCCTGCCTCTTTTTTCTTTGTTTTTTTAAAAATTATTTTAGTTAATGAAATATATATTTATGTAGACCATATTTTTACCTGATACACAATTTAACTATATCTTATTGTAGCTCCTTCTCACTCTGTAAATTAAGAAAGACTCCCCACTACAAGAAATATATGATTTAACGACGTTTATTTAATGGCACTTTTTAAAACGTCATTATTTCTAATATTTAACGGCGTTTTATAAACGTCACATTTTATTTTAATTAAAACGGTGCCGTTTAAGTAATGAAGTTGTTTGAAAACCGCCTTCAAATGTGTTAACAGTGTTTCTCTCTTTCTCTGTTCAAACCCTCAAATCTCTCACTCACTTATTTTAATCTGAGAAACCCTAGAGTCTCAGAGAAACTGATCCCTCAAATCTCTCACTCTCTCTCTCTCTAAACCCTTCAACTCGATTCAACCTTCTTCAGCTCGGTGATTTATCATTTGGTCGATTCAATCTCAGAATGATTTTGATTTCGAAGCTCCACCGCCATTGCCACCGCCACCGCCACCACCATCTGCCTCTGCATCTGCATCGTCTACTAACCATCTGCACGATTTCAATTTCAATCCAATCTCAGTTTTGTCGATTCTTCTCTCTCTCTCTCTCTCTCTCTCTCAATCTCTATCTCTTTCTCTATCTCTATCTCCCTCTCTCTGGATCTCTCAATCTCTCTCAGAATGATTTTGGTTCTGTTGACAAATTTTGTAACAAAAATTGGGGATTTGTGGCTTTCATCATCTATTAGCACAAGATTGTGGAGCTTTAACTCCCATCTTTGCATTCGATTGCTGGTTAGATGGTGATTTGCTGTGGTTTTTTATTTTGTTTATTTGTTTATTTTTTGTAGTGGTATTTTCTGGTAGATTGAAGATACTTATACATTTGTCAAAGAAGATAGGTATATTTTAGCTTTTGCAATTGTATTTTTGCTATATATTCAATGTCATTACTTGTAAACATGTATTCAGGATTGTTCTTTGAATTTTTTAACTTATAAATAGAGGAAAATCTTCCTAAATCATTTCTTTAAATTTTTGCTAAAGTTTATCATTGATACTATATTCTTTGTTCAGTCTTGTATAGGGAAAACCTTTGTTCAGTCGTTTCGAGCATGGATGCTATGCCATTCTGCTTCATTTGTTGTGAATTGAGATCTGTGTATATAGATAGTGTTGAGTATAATACATCATTACTATCGGTGCTATCTCCTGTCTTTTTGTATTCTTTTGCATCGTCTTGATGCGCTCTCAATAAAGTTGCTTATTTATAAAAATAAATAAATAAATACATTTAAAAACTATTGGGTTACATGTGGAGATAGTATTTTCTTATATTCTTTCCAATTCGTTGATGAAATTACATGTCGTGTTACCGACCTACTTCATTTGATGAGTTGTTCCTCTAGTTCGCAATATGAGGCTGACTACTTTATTTAAAATTCTTGCTACTGTTACTGAAGGATGCCAGCCATTACCCTTGTTTCAATAGTGTCATTAGTCAATGGGTTTAGTGGCAGTTTGGCTTAGCTGATTGTATCCAGATCAAATAGATATTCAATAATTATTAACCTCGAGGCTGTGGGTTCGAACTTGAGGGCAACTAATTTGTGCAAATTATGAGAAGGTTTAGGTTAGGACTCAATATATCCCTTCCAGACCCATATCCAATGGGGACTAAACTAGTCATACACACAATCATCAGGTGATATGGTGATCATTGCTCATAAATGAACATCTAGCACTGGATTTGATTTTGCCCTGGCCATCATTTTGTCAACTGTTACATATGATGTCCACTGTTATTTTGATGGTGTGAGTAAGCCCTGCTTTGGAAGCAATCAGTGGTTCAACAAGCATAATTGAAATATAAACCACTGATTTTGAGTTCTTTGTTGCTAGTAAATGCTAAATAGTAAATATAGTCACTCTTTAATAGTTTGTGTTTTTGCATGTGCATGTGTTTGCTAGCATTTAAATTAGAGTTTTTCCCATTTGTTTTGCAGAATAAAACATAGTACATAATTTTCTTTTATTGAGCAATATATACATTTGATTTTGATATATTTTGCCTTGATAATTTTAGGTCTCCAACAATTATTTCCATTCCAAAGTCATCTGACAGTGTCTCCTCTAGTTCATCACGAAGCAAGACTCGGGGGAGGTTAACTCGCAAGTTAGTATATGTTCTTGAAGTTGTTAAGTTGTGTCATGGGTGGATGTATCTTCGTCATCTTTTCTGGTTTGATTGATTAAGTTGGCTGATTTAGTGGACTAAATACTTGATTTTTGTCTTTTTCTCAAGAGATCTGCGGTTGCACAAGTTGGTATTTCAGGATGATGCACTGCTTGATGGAACTGAACTAGCTTATTTTGTTCGTGGGCAGGTTGTTAAGATGAGCACATACACATTATTATTTTGGTTTAAGGAAATGTTTATGTTGCTTTTTATAAAGATCAAATGTATTAAACAATTAACATATTTTTTTTATTTTTGTGGAAGCAATGCTTTCCCAATGAAGCACCTTGTTGTGATATGTATTTGTTTTTTGATTACTTGTCATCTACAGAAATGCGCAGAAGGTTATAAGAAATTCTTAATAGTTTCTCTTTAGAAGCTTAAGCTGTCTCTTAATAGTTTACATAAGCCTTCACCAATAGAAGGCTCTTGAAAATGGTTCCACTAAATGGAAACATTTTTCAATTTGGTTATAGAAATTCTTGCCTCCCATGGACCAAATGCATGCAAAAACTTTGTTGTGTGGTGTCTTTTTGCTAAATTCTGCAATTCAGTTTTGTCTCTTTCTCTTTAATTTATTTTTTTATTTCGTAATCAGCATTTGTGAGCTTATAGTTTTCTACACATTGATGATGCATGCAGGGGCCATGGTTTCAAAACTGTTAGTTTCCATTCTAGCTTTTATTTTCATTCTTCAAACAGTTCTTTTTTTTCTTTTTCTTTTTTTAAAGTTTTTTGCTTTGGTCAATTAAGTGTCCCTGGAGTTCCATCTAAATAGTGCTCTCTTAATATGTCAATTAACTAGCTAGAACTGATTGGTATTTATCATTACAGAACAAAGAGAAGTCTACATCATTGAAAACAATGGAGGATGGTCAGGTACTTCTGTACTCGGTAAGTTTCTCATCTTTTTTGGTATGGTGTTTAGCAAGGCATCATCCATAAACATGTTTTAATATTAAAACAATCATCAGATTCAGGTATTCTATTTTTGAGTTCTAATGTGGATAGCATTATCTTTTTCTTTCTCCCAAAATTCTGTGAACGCCCAAGAACCCAAAATTCCATACCCTTGGTTGGTTTTCAATGACAAGGTTAAAGTGAATTCAGTATTTCTCCAGGATTCAACTGCGGTATCTGATTCCGTGCTTCTCTTATTTGGAGGAAAGATTTCTAGAGGCGGCCTGGTAAGTTTCTTTCTCCATCTGTAGTCAATACTATCAGCAATATCGGTTCTTGCAACATATATCCATGATAATTAATTTTCTTTCATTTTATTGTGCCATATATTTTACTGGGATCATTTCCTGCTTTTGCATAGGATGGACACTTGAAAATGTTGGGAGGATACTTGGAGTTTTTCATGAAACCTTCCTTGGCAGATACATATCTAAGATTGAACGCTAAGCTTGAAGAACTTATTCAAATGAAAGTAAGTATTTTGCAACACAGTTATGTTTGGCACAAGGGATGGATAAATATGGGCAAAGAGAAAGAGGGATGGCAGAAGCATCCCCTAAGGAATATGTTTAATGTCGTTTTAATACCCTTATTTTGGAAAACGAACGAAAACCTATTAAAAAAGTGAAGTGCATTTTACATATTAAAATAGACGAGTTCTTAGTTCCCTCTTGCCTGTACGGTTTTTGGTGGCCTGGGCAGATTTGTATCCTCTTCCTTTCCCTTCATTTTCTTATTTCTTCCCTTTCCATCATTCTCTAATCTTTCCTTGTACTAAACATGATGTGGCCAAGTTTTCAAGGCTGAATCTTTCTCTCACTCACACTTAATTTGAAGTGAGAAATACCCGCAATTTGATGTTGATTGTTTTATTTATTTGATTTATCGTTCTGTATTTTGTTGATGCAGCTTTTGAATTCCAAGCTGGAAATAAAAAATCACAATGAGCTCCTGTCAGCGGTAAGACTATTGGTATCAGAGGATCAATGTGAAGGTAGATTTGTTTTTGGTCGCCAGGTTCCAACATCTTCAAAAAAGATCACAAAAGAGATGCTGCCAAGCACGCCCTTGAGAAGTATTGATGGCGGTGGTGATAATTCCAAGAACGAGCTCCAAACATTGCTTGCCAAGGCTGGACACGGAGCACCCACCTACAAGACAACCCAACTGAAAAACAACAAGTTTCGTTCTACTGTGATTTTTAACGGATTGAACTTTGTTGGCCAGCCTTCCAACAATAAGAAACTTGTAGAAAAGGGTGCAGCGGCTCAAGCTCTACAATGGTTGACAGGTGATGAAACTCGGTCACCTCAGGAAGCTGTTGATCATATGGCAATGCTTTTAAAGAAGAGCAAAAAGAAACGTCAAGTCAATGCTACTAAGTGGAGGTAGTTGCTGCAAAGAATTAGAACAAACAATATAATGTCATGATTGCTTTGCGAAGAAAGATGAGTTGTGGAAGTCAATATTTCTCGTCATTTATTTATAAGCCAGAAGGGAAGTACTAGATCAGATGTAAGATTGTTCCCGGTCCTTTCCAACCCTGGACAAAACCACCCTTCTAGAGAGGAAACTCGGATTTTTACCTTTGCCATTACAGACATGGAAGTCAATGTTTGGATGCAGGCGGCACCTATTTCAGCTCGAGGATGAACTTGGTCCAGAATTACTGCCGCGTCAGGTAGTTACTGTTACTTCTTGTATCATATATTTATTCTTACTATGAAAAAATAGAAGATAGGCCCTCACAGAAGAGAAGAGTTAGCTAGATATTGTTTTTGTATAGAATGATTGCTAGCATTCTGCAAAGATTGTTGCATTTTATATAGCATTTCTTGCTTCTAAGAAACCTTTGTCATCAATTTATGGATTTCAGCAATTGAAATTTTCACTTATCAACTGAGTTAATGTTGGGGACAGTTGGTAGCTGCCGTTTTTCTAGGCCTTCCATGATTTTTGTTGATGTTTCACTGTCTTGAACATGAAAGAAATATTGTCACAGGAGCACTAATAAGTTCTTTTATTTCATGGTTGGACTTTAGGATCGGTTTGACCCAATAGACAATGAATGAGGCTTGCCAAATTGGTTGGGTTAATTTGGAATCAAATATTCCTGGGAACTTTTTTTAAAAAATGGAATGCCCTTTTATACTTTTTTTTTTTTTCTTCAGGTAGGTCTCCATGTGATACCCTTTTAGCATATCTTTTCTGTGTGTGTGGGGGTGGGTGTGCATGTATGTATTTACTTGTCTGCGGTTTCTGATTTATGAATGAACAAGAGTTATGTACAATAAGAAAATGACTTGGGACTGGATGTAGTAGATGCTACAACTTACTCTTTATATGCAACCAATGCTGTTATGACTATGTATATTCATTATTCATATACCTATTGTAGGGATGAATCACTACTATGTTAAGGACTTGCACTAAATGATGACTTGCAGCGACTAGTAGCCAAACATGAATACATCACCTCAAGAATTTCTGTGAAAACAGAGAAACCGAAGCTCAGACCTGTTCAAGCACTGGTGAATCTGGATACTCCTCTAATTTTTATTCTTTGCAATATTCGTGTTGGCTAATATCCTTGATACATCAGTTATTGTTGGAATTGGTCTTTTAAAAATTTATATTGGGTATAGTTCATAGATGTCAAAACATTAGTGTTTATGTTTTGCATAATTTTTTTAGAAAGCCAATGTCTAGACAATTGGGAAATTAGAATTAACTTTGGAAGACTTATGCAATGGATATCTAGAACTTGAGTGAGTTTATTCTCATTCTAGAAGAGATGCTTTGACTTTCTATTTTGTTGAATTAGTGGGGTTCTTTCCAGGGATTTTTGTATTTATCTACTGCTCTATTCAGGAACTTATATTCTACAAGAGAGAGTCAATTTGTATTTTAAGACAATTTTAATTGCCTTCTATATTAGATTGTTGTTGGACGATGTTAAACTGTGCATGAGATGGCTGCTTGGTTTCTTGGGATTGAACTTATTGGATTTTTTTCTTGAAGGATGTTGTATTTGGTACTATTATAGATGTGAGAGAATAGTAATCTCACCGAAATATGTCTATACAAAGTTTTATTGGGTACAAAATTAGTAGTTTAAATAAATAAATAAAATAAAAATTCTATTGCGGCGTTTTTCAAAATGCCACTATAGTTATATTTTTAAAAAAACAAAAAGCTATTACGACGTTTTTGAAGCGTCGCTGAATGCCTGTGTGACGTCATGTTACCGCTGGTTGCCACATTTAGCGGCGTTTATAAAAACGCCGCCTATACTAATTTTACAACGTTTTTAAAGCGTCATAAACTTACAGCGACGGCCGCGTCCTCGGCGTTTGGTGGTAAGCGTCACTAAAGGAATTAGCGGCGTTTTTCAAACATATAGCGGCTTTGCTAAAAGTCATTTTTCCAGCAATGTTAGCCCTGTCCTATCATTCGTATGATGGAGTTTGTTATTTTAATTCATTGAAAAAGGCAATTATTTTAAAAATACAATAGCTGGAAACTTTTCAGTCTTCGTGATCAAATATAAGTGGGTAGTCCTAATATTTCTTCATTCACAATATTCTAATGACATGGACCCCTTTCACAAAAACATGAAGTCAAGAATGCTAACTATTTTACCTTATCTTTTGGCCGCAGATTGGATACATCCTGTGTTCGAAGTGCAAATTTTTCAAATGCGTTACCTTTCCTAATTATAGTGACGGTGAGGATGTAACCTTTTAAGTCTACTGTTAGATGCGACTGGCATTCAACTATTCTCCTGTTGGATGCAGCAGGTCAGTTTTTTTATCCGGGTGTATTTTGAAACCAATGAAGGTGTTCTTTGAGAGGCATTTATGTACTTGCATATTTCGAGTGATAGATGCTTAGCTTATGTGTCATATGACCTATATTAATTCTTTGTTATTCTAATTAGAGCAATATGCAATTGGAAAAAGTATAGAATGGCTTCTGTTCTTGATTGCTGAATTTATTTTCTTGTACTTAACAAGGACTATTGGTGTAGAAAAAAACAACAGACCTATAATTCAAGCTTAGCACTCTCATTTTCAGCTTTGAACTCCCTCATTTTTAACTAATGCTTTCTGGTCCCATTTCTTAGTTTTTGCCCAAGACTAAAGGAGGAATTGCAAATGAAACAAGTGGAAATAATTGCAAAAATATAGATGTGCAATTAGATCTGTGCTCTGGTGTAAGTGAAAATTGTGACCTTATGTAGGACTTAGACTATGCATTTTGTGTTATTATGTTGCTCAATAGTTAATTGTGTCAATTTCATTCTCCAAGTATTACATGAGTTAAATTGGTCTCTATGAATAATGTCATAGTATTTATCATTAGAATAAAAACAAAAAATTACCGTTTTTGAAAAAAGTAGCCTTTTACAGATTGACTTAATTAAAATATTATGGATCAAAATGACCCAAGATACATTTTGAACCAAAAGTGTAATTAACATTCTTTTGTTGCAATGTAATTTCTTTATTTGATGCTAACAAAAAAAATGTTGATGTGGGATTTGATGACTAACAAAAAAAAATTTGTATTTGATGTTATAGTAGTTAAACTTTTATGTTTTTTTGTAATTAACATTAACACATAATTATATTGTCATTAATTATTTTTATTTTTATTTTTCAAATATTTCCCATGTAGAAGTGTGCTTCTTGTGGAATGCATGCCTGTGGAGAATGTGGCTAACTTTTGTTTTTGTTATCTACGAAGAATGATGAGAAAAACATTTAATTTTGGTTTATGTTATTTTGAATTATGAACAAAATCATGTATTTAAACATTACATATGTATTATGGAACATTATGTAGTGGAATAATTTTGTTGATGTGTAATTATGAATGGAAGAATATTTTATTAGGGAGATTATTATTTTTATACAGGTATTTTTATATTATTATGCAATTAGTATGGAGAAATTTTAATATTTTTAATAATTTTATCGCATGATGTTTTTTTCTTTTTTGTGACGGACTACACCATTGTAAAAAACAGAAAATTTTAATATTTTTATTGATTTTGTTACAGGTTTTACTTTTTGTGACGACACTAAACTGTCGCAAAAAATAAAAATTTTATTATTTTTCTAATACTTTTTGCCACGGCACCACACCGTCGCAAAAACAGTGTTCTCGCCGTTGCAAAAAAAAGACTATTAGCGACGGCATTTTTTGCTGTCTCAAATAACATTTTTAGTGACGGTAAAATAGTGCCATCGCAAAAAGTCAAGAAATTTTAAACATTATTAGTGACTGCAAAGTGCCGTCGCAAAAGGCAAAAATGCCTTCACAAAACATGCAAAAACTCTTTTGCAGTGCCTCCAGTTGCGACCACCCGCTTGCCATCGCAAAAAGTCATTTGCTGTCGCAAAAAGTTTTTTGCCACGGCATTAGGAGTATTAGCGACGACATTTTACCATCGCAAAAAACTAAAATTTTTAGTAGTGTTAGATTGGTTATATCTTATATGGTGTTTGTTTATGATTTTTTTTTCTTAATTATGATTGAAAAAATTTAATTATGATATTTATGATCATTAACTCCTAAATAAATGTCATAACTTACCTATGATAATTTAATCAGTAATGATAGAGACCCCCACAACCCCAAAATGATCTTAACCATTCTTATCGCTGTCAGAGATAGGAAAAGAAAATTTTCAAATGCAGCAATGGTTCATACATCAGTAAGGGTCGTAAAAGTCCTCCTTGTGGGGTCCCAAACATTTTCTTAATTTTTGATCATCTTTTTAACACTTCTAAGTTAGGGTAATGTGGGGGAGATTGGCGCAAGTCAGCGTATTGGCGCGTCTGCTCCCATTTCTCGGCAAAGGTTGCAACGCAAACCAATTATGTTGGGTGAGTTAGCATCATGATTTTTCTAAGAATTTAATTTTTAGGAGAGACTATGGGTTGAATTAAATAGATAAGCACTTATTGATTTGTGAAGAGTGAAAATGCTAACTTCATATCGGTTAATTAATAACTGACTTTTGCCAACTAAAAATTAAAAAAAAAATTACAGCACATTACTTGAAAATGAAAATTAATGGTCTATAATTATTAAGTAAATTTAAATCTTAACATTTTTCTTTTAAGTGTTTTTCAATTTGAATTTAAAATATGTTGTTATAGTTATTTCACAACTATTAAACATCTTCTATGAGGAGTTCCAGAAAATTGAAGCAGAAAGTTCTTCCTTTGTCGCTTATTTAGGGATGAATGCATGCGTAAGCATGAATTTACCTCGAGTCAAGGTCTTGCTCCTAAATTTTTGAGCGATTGATGCAAATATTATCATGTGGGTTTAAAACATTGCGCAATCATGTTCCTATTTAATGATGTTTTGTGACCATTTAATCCCTTACTAATTAAGCGATCACACAAAGGTTTGCAGAACAAAAGAATAGTCACTAATTATTCCTCGCTTGTCCTGCTATCCCAAACTCATCTCTAGCACAATAGAATAAAAGATTCGGATCTGAAAAGTATGATATATGGCCATGTTACAAAATATTAAACATCTTAGAATCATATATGTCAAGCTCTAAAACCAATATAAGTGCCAAATCATGCACAAAATCTCAACCCAACATGCTAGCTATAATCTGTTCCCAAAAAAAGAAGAAAAAAAAAAAAAAAAAAAAAAACATGCTAGCTATAATGAAAGAAAGGGAAATGTCAAACAAACAAAAAGTTTATTAAAAAAAATAAAAATTATTCAAAATGATGTGATAAAATCTTTTCATTTAAAATACTAAAGTCCATATCTATATAATTTATATTTTTCATAAAAATCACTGCCACATCATTCTAATT